AGAGGCACTGTGGGAATAAGAAGGGGGCAGAGGACCAGCCACTGCTCTGGCTCAGAGCTAGTGGTTCTGGTGCAGATCTTGCTCTACTCTCTGCCTTGGCCTGGTGGCTGCCTGACCCAGTAGAGCTTTAGTGAATACCAGGGGCTGCCCAAACCTGCAGTGCCTCCTGCTGGCTGCTGGGGAAGACACAAGAGGGGCCCTGCTCCCGCCTCACCAACTTACTACGCCCCAGATAAATTCCAGACCAACTGACGGTATCACCTAAAAAAAGAAAACCATAATAGTGCTATAATAAAACATCCAAGACTATTTTTACAGTCTTGGAGTGGGAATGACCTTTCTAAGCGCAACTGGAAACCCTCTCTGGGGGTGTGGAGGGGAGATTGAGGCAGGCCCACATCCCTGGCCAACAGGGCTGGCAACCTACACACAGGCCTGGCCATGGAGCCAGAGCCACAAGCAGGCTAGGAAAGGGAACTCATTCTTCTAGCTTATTCTGTGCATTCTTCTAGCTTATTCTGTGCATTGAACCCCAGACAGGCCTTTTCTGGTGGGTGCAGTGAACAGGGGGCTGGTGCTTTGAGATCTGACTGTCATCCGAGTCAAAAACATATACATGAATAAGAATTTGTGGCCAAGTGTCACCCAAAGTGTAAACTGCCACCTGGGACTGGTCACAGTGAGTGCTGGCAACATTTCCCCCATCTTTGAGAAACACCTTTGTTTTTCCCTTTGGGGAGCTCTCCCTACCCCACTCTCAATCTGTGGTTGGACAGAGCCAAGCTGCCTCCTCAAATGGCTTCAGACATAGGCACAGGACTTGGTCTTGGCCAGTGAGTACTGGCCTGGACCTCTCCCAGAACAACTAGGAGTAAGAATATTGTTCCACAAGGGCTGCCATGTAGGTAGGACAAAGCTAAGAAAGTCAAGTGGAGCCTAGAGCCAAGCATGCCTGAAACAGTCCTAAGCTCTAACTCTAACTCTTGCTCTCTTACCTTTGGCAGCATCGATGAGCACCTTCAAGCCTCTGTTCTCCTGCACAATCATCTTGGCATGGTCATGGGCATGGCCGAAGGGCACACGGATGTCATCATCAAAGGTCATGATGCGGAGGGCCCAGCAGGCCTCCCTGACCACATCAGCACAGTGGCCATGCCGGGTGATGGCGCCAGTCAGCAGGGGCAGCACGCCAGCCTTCACCAGGCTCTGCCGATTCTGCTCGTGTTTCAGGCAGGCATGGCGTACACAGCGGATCCCAGAGCAGATTAGATCCGTCACTTCGGTGTTCTGGGCCAGCGTGGCCACCAGCAGCTTCAGGCCCTGGGTGTCTAGGAGATCGGGCTGACTGTCAATCAGGGCTGACAGGGCATTGAGGGCCTGCAGCAGGAGGCCCTGGTCACTCACTGCAGCCAGCTTCCAGGCAGCGAGGAGGATGGGGTAGGCACCCTTCTGGGCTGCCAGGAAGCGGCAGGCCTTATTCTGCTTGCACTGCTCGCAAAAGCGGGCAAGGTGTGCTGATACCTCCTGGGGGTGAGAGCAGGCCACAGATTCCTGCAGGTTGTCCAGGGCCTAGGGAACACGAGAGAAACCTCAGTGTCAGCTCTGCCCAAAGAGGGCCACAGCAACAGTGCTGCACTTCTATAGGATCCCACCTCTGGGGTTTGGGCCTGCACCAGAAGTTCTGTGGGGCCAGTTCCAAAGGTGGCAGCTCCCACACCTATGCTTCTAGGAGATTCAAAGGCCACATAGAGGGAAAGGCCTAGACCTCTTAGTGTCCCTGCCAAGGAGCCACACACATGAGTGCAGAGATATTAAACAATCTGGCCTTGGTTGCCACTGCCTGAGTGGCCTCACGTGAGACTAACAGGAGAACCATCCAGCTGAGTTCAGGCAACCCAGTGTAACTATAAGAAACAATGAAATGGCTAATTTTTGGGTTGCTTATTATGTGGTCATAACTAACCAACACACTCTCCAATGGCCAGCTCTCCAAAGACAAAAGCTGCCTTCACCAGATCTGCTCACACCACATGTCTCCTGTTTGTCTCTCTCATTCATTCCACAGATATTTACTGAGCATCTGCCAAATAAAACCACACTGTTGATTCACTCAAATTCAACTCTAAGACCTTGGGGGAAAAAATAATGATGAGAAAAAACAATCTGAATAGTACAGACAAGTCTAGCTGCTATTCAACTCCATGACCTCAGGGCCTGTCTTAGCAGGAGCCCAAGGCGAATCTGCACCCCTGGAGTTTCTGAAGTCATATGCACCCCACCCAGTGAGGGTGATTTTACAAATGCCATCAGCCCAAACGCCTTTGATTTTGCTTGACTACCTTGAAAGGCGAGAATGCCTGTTAGCCAACCCTCACTGAGCCAAATTTGTGGACTTAAATGAGTATATGTTACAATGAAACTGAATATTAAAGAATAGGTTAAAACCAGAGCAGAAACCTGAATAGGCATTCCCCTAAAGAAGAATCATGAGTAGCCAATGACCACAGGAAAATGTGCTCCACATCACTAATCACCAGGGAAACGCAAATCAAAATCATAAGATACCATCACACCCTTCAAGGTAGCTACTATCAAAATAACAAGTGTTGACAGGAATGTGGAGAATTCAAGCCCTTGTTCATTGATGGTGGAATGTGAAATGGTGCAGCTTCTTTGGAAAACAGTATAGTTACCATATGATCTAGCAAACCCACTTCTGGGTATACACTCAAAAGAACTGAAAGCAGGGTCTCAAAGAAAATCCTTGTGCAGAGCAGCATTATTTAAAATAGACAAAAGGTGGAAGCAACCCAAGTGACCATCAATGGATAAATTAATAAACAAAATGTGGTCCATCCATACAATGGAATATTATTCAGCCATAAAAAGGAAAAAATTCTGACATATCCTACATCATGGATGAATTTGAGGACATTATGCTCAGTGAAATAAGCCAGTCATAAAAGTAAGTATTATATGATTCTACTTATATGCAGTCTCTAGAGTAGTCAGATTCATAGAGACATAAAGTAGATGGTGGATGCCAGGAGCTGGGGAAGTTGGGAATGGGAGTTAGTGTTTAATGGAGACAATTTCAGTTTGGGAAGATAAAAGAATCCTAAACGTGAATGGTGGTGATGGCTATACAATGATGCGAATGTACTTAATGCCACTGAACTGTGTACGTACAAATGGTTAGAATGGTAGGTTTTATGTTGACTATTTTACCATAAAAACAAACAAACAAACAAATGGAGGTTGTGGCATTTTAGCAGGAACCCTGCAAGAAACTTGAAAAGCATATGACACAAATGCCATTGATAACGCACACTACTTGAGTTACAATTACTCTATGTTTAGTTAGATAAGAGAGGATAAGAAACAACCAATATTTGCACACTGGTATCCATCAAAGAGATTTATGAGAAATCTCTTCTTGATCTGTTGTCTTCATGGTTGCTAGGTACTGCCTGCAACCTGACACTCAGCAGGCTAGTTGAGCAGAGAACAATTGCTAACGTGGATGTGGCAGAGCCAGCTGTGTTCCACCTGTGACAACTCTGCTTGGTGACAGGGCTTTGTTTACAAACCCTACAGTCATTCTCTCTGACTGGCAGCTTTTATTCTGCACTTCCCACATATAAAACTGGCCAGGCTCACTTTCTACTCAGAGTTCCAACACTTCATCTTGGTTTTATTTTTACAAGTCTGTTTGCAACAAACTTCATAACTCTATTAGATTCATTTCAAAAGGCGTCACTGAGTTGTATCTTTTTTCCCTCCACAGATAAGCATTTTTTGTGCATCAGAACTGAGACACATAAGCAGAAGTCAACAGTGCCATGGGCATGTGAGAAGAGGTTGGTTCAGTTGTAAGGTAGGAACAGGGCTGGGAGATGTGAACACCAATGTGTGTGACATCATCCCCAGGGAAGGGTAAGAAGGAGGCTGGTGGATGTACAGAACAGAGACTTTCAGATTTTACTATAAATGCTTGAGTATTGCTTGAATCTTTTATGCTAAAAATATATTCATGTTCTTCTCTAATGAAAAATAAATATTTATTTATTTATTTATATAATTTTATTTTTTTTTTAGGCAAAGCAACCCTTGGTTGACCTCATAGATTGAGAGGACCTTGTCACCTTCCTATCTTATTTTTTCTTTTTTACACCTACAGCACCTGGTCTTCTTAGGTGGTCTCCCATCCAAGTACTAACCAGGCCCAACCTTGCTTAGCTTCCGAGATCAGATGGGATCAGGCTTGTTCAGGGTGGCATGGCCGTAGACAAAAAATAAAAATTTAAAAGTAAAATTAAGAAGAATAAAAGAGCAAAAGCTATAAACAAACAAGGAGTTTCCTATACTGCTGGTAGAAAACAGCTGAGCTATTCTCTGAGCTTGGCTTCCCTGGGAGAGGGACCAGGGTCTGGGTCCCAGCTTTGCTCCTCACTGGCTGTGACTATAGGAGAATTATTTATTCTTGAGAAGCTTCAGATTCTTGATCAGCAAAATAGACTAATCACAGGTTGAGATAACTCATTTTAAACATTTACCACAATGCAGAGCACTTCAGAAGTACTCGATGATTGCTAGAGACCATTGTTACTGAGATCCTTCATATATAAAGGGCATCTACAAATCAGTAAAAAAAAAAGATGAACCACAAGACAAGCTCATTTTAAAATACATTCATCCTTAGTGGCAAAGAAAACAATTAGATGATTTCATAAAACCTCTGAAAGGCAGGAGATGGTGGGGACCCTGATGACAAGGAGAAGTAAGCACCCTGACTTAGAGCTGGGATCATACCCAGGGCTGTCTCCTCCAACTTCCTCTTTTATTACACTCTCTCGCTGCCAGGAGAGTCATTTTATTCTCTTTGAATCTAAATTTCCCCATCTGTAAAATGGGGATAATAATCCCAACCTTGCAAGTGTATTTGAGAGAACAACTAATAGCACAAGAAAAGCACCTTGCACAGAAGTGAGTCCAAAACCTATTCTCAATAAACACTAGAAGTTTCTGCTGTTTTACCAACAGCTTACCACAGTTTGATAGATGACCTTAATGAAAAGTCTTAACCTCTGTGAGCTGTATTTTCCTTGTTTGGGTCACTGGAGAGCAAGGGCAGGCTCTGAGCCTCTGTTTTCCCATCAGTAATTAGGGGACAACATTACCTATTCTACAGGCCAGTTTAAATGCTAAGGGGACAGGATGCAATGTGCCAGTAAACAGTCAGTGCTCAATAGGTGACAGCCTTACTATAATCCCACTCCTTCTGAGCAAACTCATCGGTAGAAAGGCCAGAGAGAGGCTCCTCCATGGTGCCCTCTACCCCAAAGCTCCTAACACCAGGGACAATCATAAGTGCTGCCCACCCATGAGGCCTTGGATGTGGACTCAGGGAGCCCTGGCTGCAAATTCAGGCCTGCCTGCACATGCTGGGCAGGCCCTGACCTATAGAGCCTGCATCTGCTCTCTGGGAACCAGGGGAAAGGTGCCCCTGACAGACTGTTACAAGGTGATGGGTATAGAACCACGCGTGTAAGATCAGCCCGGCCCACATGGGCTGCCCCCTCCTACCTGCAGGATGGCATGTGTGGGCTCCTGGGGTCCATCCGCAGAGACTTTGGGCACCATCTTTATAATGTTGCTCATATCAACCCCTGCGGGGAGGGTAGGGGAATCAGGAAGGAAGTGACAATTAAAATGAGACCCACCTAGAAGGATCCAGCCCTGTAGATGTCTGGGTAAGATCCAGGCAAGTAGAGGGTAGGTGCCAGCAAGGTGGGAGCAGGTGTCCAGCCTGCCTGGGGCAGAGTGTGGAGAAGTAAAGGGGCCCAGGGCTGCCACACCAGGTGAGATGGAGCCACAGCAGGACAGCACTCTTGCACAATAAGAGCCATGGACCAGAGGGAACTGTCAGGCAAACAGCCAAACCAGCAATGGGACAGAGCTGCACCACATTACCTTGTGATTCAAACTGCTCCACGGCCTCTTTAACTGCCTCCTCTGGCCCCATCTCAAACTCCTCAATGTTCTCACGAACAGCTGCATCGAAGGTCTCCTGGGTGATGTGCTTGGAGGCCATCTTCATTCCTCCCATGTGGGGCTGCAGGCGCCTGACAGATGCTCCTGAGCTAAAAAGTTAAGGTGAGAAGAAAGCTTCATCAAGGGCATGAGGGAAGCTGGGAGTCTGGCCACAATTTAAGGAGGATCTACTGGGGCTGAAGCTGTATGACCACCCTGGAAAAATTCTTACAACTTGGATCATAGGATAGGGTGATAGCCCAACATCCCTAGAACTTCTAAAAGTACAGAAGAGGAGAGGTAGTTTACTACATTTTATAAGAAAAGGTACTGTTAATATAATGTATTTCCTTATAATAATATAAAAAAATTGCAATAAAAATAAAATAGCTTAATAGTATTATGGTTTACTATAACATTATATAAAATAATAAACTAGTATTATATGTAATTCTATAATATAGTCATGTTATATAATTATAATATATTACATACATTATATGCAATTACATATTACTTTATTATATAGTTACATTTGTGCATAATTACATAAAATAATGTTATAATAGTATACTGTTATACTAATAAAATTTTAAAATAAAATTAAAAACAAAAAGTAAATAAAAAGGAAGGATAATTCAAAAACTAATGGAAATACTTACCTGTAAGGGGAGGTAAAAAAAAAAAAAGGTGGTAAAGAAAAGGAATAGAAGCTGGATTGTTCTCTCTGAATGTACCTTGTATTACAGGTTTGAATTTGGAACCCAGGTAAATGCTTTATGTGGTTAGGAAAAGAAATAAACCAATATAAACCAAAATAAAAATAAAAACAATCCCTAAAAAGCAAGAGTAAAATGAAGCCCATGAGTTTAATAGTGTCTCTGCACCTATCAGATCACTTCATGTGATTTTAAAACACAGTGATAGATAGAACCATATATTCTCACTGGAATATACGCTAAGGGTAGTATGAAATACAAAAGAGAATCTTCAACAGTTTCCACTAATCATGTTATTGGAAATATTAGTAATGTTATTCTGAAACTATCATAGATGTAGTAAATAAGTAACAATGTTTATGTCATTAGGAACCAGCATAAAAGAAAATTATAAGAAAAACAAAGAAGTAAAAACTCAGAATTCCTAAATTTAAATTGGAAGTATCAACACGCTCATTATATCCTCTTAATCAAACAAAAAAAAAAACCTCACAGTTTTCTTGTTTTATCAACTGAAAATGCCTAGAAGAAATGATATCACAGCAGCAATGGGCACCCTAAACACCAACTATAGACTCTAAATACCATAACCAGGGCTCCTGGAGGAATGGCTGGTTCCAGGTCTGGGCAGGAAATGGGCCAGAGGAACCTGGAGCATCTTGTGAGAACAGGATGCAAGGAAGCTTCTAAAGACCACTGAGTCCTATAAAAGGACTTAGGAACAAACCCTAAGGGGTGCCCACTAGCTAAAGATGGGATAAGTGAGCATTTAAAAAAAAAACAATCGATATCAAAATCAAAATCTATGCATTCATAATAGTACTAAAACAAACCCAGCTCATTCTAAAAAGTGGCAAGTAAAGAATCCAGCATTTATCCTGCTTCCCTCACACAAGTGGGTACCAGGTTATATAGAGAGGATGAGGGAAAGTTCTGCCCCGTAGATGAATTTCATCTAATTGACCAAACAGGACAAATCTAGACAATAATCCCTGCAGGCTGCAAAACCACAAGGTGTAAAACTAATGGTGAATCAGAGATCAGGTGAACAGTACCTGTGTCCACTGCATGACTGTATGATTTCATGTTATCGAAAGAGAAACTTAACACCACTTGCCTCCTGACCAGAATGAAATGCACCTGTGAAATCTTGCCAAAACCTCAGATTTCAATCTGACCACACATCCAGTAAAACTCTGTGCAACAACAGTGTTACGGATCTGTGCTATCCATGTGGGATTGAGGAGTTGAAATGTAGCTAGTGCGACTGAAGAACTGAACGTGTATTTTTACTTAATTTTAATTCATTTTAATGTAAATAGCCACAAGTGATGGGGGCTACCATACTAAACAACGCAATTTTTGAGCTAATGACCAGTTTATAGGAAATTGAGGGCAGATGGACATACCTGAAATTTAACTCAGGGAAGTTAATTTAACACTGATATGATTTTCTAATGTATGGTCCCCGATCAACTTCCTCAATTGTCTTATACGGTCTTTTAAAACAATGTCTTTTTTAGGTCCTGGGTCCATTCCAGAATCACACAACACATAAAGTGTGTTAGGGGGACAAGGTTACGGGGGTACTAGGACAGCAGTATGGGAATGTAGCAAAAATCTGAGTGCAAATATGGGCCATGTGAGAAATAGGCCACTCTAGCCCACACTCTTTATAGAAGTAGCACAGGATGTGAATATTCCATCTGTGTTTGTGCAAACACTCCAGGGGAAGGAGGACAGGATCTGGGGCCAACTGCCCACAGGGGAACTCAAATCTCAGGTCTTCCACTTAACCTTACTGTTCATCGATTCCTTCACGAGTGACACAGAGATAATAAACACAGAATTTACCTCATAAGACAATAGTGAAAATTCGATCAGTTAATTCCTAAAAAGCACTTAGAACAGGATTTGGCATAGAGTAAAAGCTCAATAAATATTACCAATTAGTTCCTTTCCTTTGTGCTTAGGAGGTAATATGGCCAGTATATTTGTGAAGGTGGGGAGCTTAAGGGTATCAAACAGTCCACCTTGCTCCCTTGCAAATAGTTCCCCACTCCTTTCTGTCCCAGAACAGGGAGCCTGTTTAGGAGTTGCTAAGGGTTTTCAAGGTCAAAGGTGAAAAACAATATTAAGAATTTTCTGTTTCGAAAGTTTCTCAGTGGGGAGTTTCTCAGTGGGGAGTCCAGGCTAGTGATGGTGCCACTGGAGGGACTCTGCTCCTGGCTCTGCCACCTGATGTTGCTTCCATCGCAGTGGCTGTGCTTCAGACCCAGTGAGTGGCCATTCTGTCACAGAGGCAGGGTCTTATAAGGGGAATTGCTATTATGCCTACTTTACAGATGAATCTGAAACTCAGAAAGAAACTGCCAGAAGTCATACAGGCAGTAAGAGGCTTGGCCATCAGGCAAACCTGCCTCATTAACACCATTCCTCTACCTGGGTCCTCTGAGGAGCTTCTGTCAGCACTTCTAGGCTGCCTCCTCCTGGGTAGCTTCCCTGGCCACTCAGATAGAGCCTGTGCTCTCTGGCCTTGCTCAGCATCCCCTACCCTACCCCATAAACCTCCCTCTACCCAGCCCTGAGTTCCCTGAGCTGGGGAGATCAGTGTCTGGCTCTGGGACCACCCCTATAGTCTTTTGGGATCTCCTAGGTCTGGCATGAGGCTGAGTGGGGGGATGAAAGCATCCATCTAGAGTGCATGAGAAAGATGGTGTCTGAAGATGGTCATCCTGAGAGCCACCTGGGGAAGAGACGGAGCCAGGAGCGGGGAGAAATTAGCAGCCCCTACGATGGGTCCAATGTGTTGAGGGGAAAGAAGGGAATTAGCAAGACCTCCAACTGACAGCCAGGGTTCTGCTCATCAAGAAAATGGTGCGCGGAAACATCGGGGACTGTGAATAATTTCTCATCTTCCTCCACCCGCCACATTCACCGATTCAGGCACTGTCCTCCCCAATGGGTGGCCTTGCCTGCTTCCTCCCTGCCACACCCTGCACATCTATGCACCACAGAGACCACTTTAGTCACCTGCTAAAAATCCTGCAGTGGCCGTCCCAACCCTCTCACAACAAAAACCAGTCTTCTTAACAAGCGCTTTTCCTGCCTAGTCTTCCACACCTGTGCTTCCCTGCTTCTTTCTCAACCTTCTCAGCTATCCAAGAGACATCCTTCATAATCACTCTGGTTAAAACAGCCCCAGCTCTCCTTCCATATTTGAATATTATCTCTACCTGGAGCGACTTGGTTCATTTATTTGTTTGTACTGTCTAGCCTCATCCCCAACGAAATTAAACCTCCATGAGAGCTGGGCCCAGTCCATTTTGTTCTTTACCTTCTCCCCACTTTCTAGGACAGGGCTGGGGACGCAACAGGGATTCAGTCAGTACACAAGTACTGAATGAATGAAAAAAAAAAAAAAATGAAAAGAAAGCGGAGGCCAGTGACGTGGAGGATTTTGTCCCCGGGAGGATTCTGCGAATGTTTTGTTTCCCCAAAACCAAGTCCCCGGGACGGCACACGGTCACCAGCCCAACCTTGCAGCGCCCACTCCCCGCCCCGCGCGCGAGAGATCTCGGCGGCTGCCCCTTCTCACCCGGTTTTCTCGGCCACGTGAGAAAGGGTGGGGCTCAGCGTCTGTCACCGGCAGCGCCACCTCAGGCCCCTTCCGGCCGCCGTAGGCGCGCAGGCGCGCTTGCGCCGCTCGCCTATCCTCCCTCAGCTAGGCGAACCGCACCCTGAGTGACTTAGGGTAACCGCGAACGCAGGTAAAGCCAGGAGAGCCAATAAGTGCGCAACGGCGACGTCTCTGCTGCTTTTTTCCGGGCTGTTCTCTGTTGTCACCTCCCCCAACAAAAAAATATTTCTCAGGAGAGTCCGCCCTGAAGAAACGGGCAGTGCGCCTGCGCAACAGGGCGCGGCGGCAGCCGCCTGTGCCTGT